GCAAACAGAGCACGCACAGAGAGACTCTTCAAATCCTGTCCTTTCAGCAACAGGATATCGTTCTGCAATTTGCTTTTTTAAACGTAGCAGCATCGTGCTGCAATTTGTGTTGTGTCAGCACATCCAGGGGCTGCATATTCCCCTGAGTCGCCGAGGTGACACTAATGCCACCTGAGCTTCTTCATCCACATGTCCCATGCAGGACTGTAGGGTTTCGTAGACAAGACCCAGGACAGGCAATTGCTGGTTGACTGCTGGGCATTTTGCACCTGTGTGGTGATGTTGCACCTGCATGCCAGGAAGGTTGTCCCAGTTCCGGGTCTGTCTGTCTCACTCTACAAGCACCCGCTCCTGTGCAGAGTAGCCTTTCCTCGCAGCCTTGCCAGGCCCTGAGCCTTTTTTTAAGCCCGTGCATCCCACAGGGCTGTCTGGTCCCTCTCTCACAGACAGTGCTCGGCCCAGCTTCACTTTTCCCCGTGGCCGCATCCAGCAGGTGTCCTCCAGACACGAGCCCATGCTGTTTCTCCTGCCTCTTCGGGGAGAAGGCTGTCTTAGATCATGAAATGCTTTGGGTTGACAGGTGCCCTTCAGCTGTCTCAGGTGTAGGACCCCACACAGTGCATTTTGGGGTGCTTTTACGTCTCCCCAGCCTCTGGGCTCCCTCCGTCTGTACCTGCCGATTCATATTCTGGCTGCTCCCTCCCCCCACCTGGAGGGGCCCCTGAAACTGTAAGGAAGTTGGTTTGTGGGGTTCTTTTCTTCCTTCCTGGGGAGCTCTGTGGCCCCTGGCAAATCCTGTCCGAAGCAGGCCATCCTCTTACGAAAGCAATACTGGTCCCTGGACCCTGCGCAAAGATCCCTTTCAGTGGCCATCTGAGGCCAGCCATGGGAGGAGGCGGCCCTGGGGGTTCTCTTCTGCACAGAGCCCAGGCTGTCACCTGGCTTCCATTATGACATGTGGCCCTGGTGTGTATTTGGAGCCCTCAAGACACCCCAACCCTGTGGGTACTATTGGGGATGCTAGATTTCGAAGGCTTTTGCCCCTTACAGAGCCTGAGAGACATCCCCTTTCACCCTGGTGAGGGTTCTGTGTGTGTAGCAGGAGTCAGGGACAGGGTTAAATGAAGCTTAACCACAGAGCTCAGTGTCATCTGGAGTGACAGCAGACATCCCCCACCTGAGAGCTTTTGATCTGATCTACTCTGTTGTTAGTAAATACAGAATCCAGAAGGCCTTGCCAAGCTTTGTGTGTTTATGGTGTGTGTGTGTGCGTCCAGGCGCTATTCGTAGAGCCCGTGTCCGAAACAGATGTCCTGCTATCTGGCCCTGGGGTCCTGGCTGTGGCTCTTTCTTCTGTCCCATTTCATGCTCCTCTCTGCTTCCTCTACCCCAGCCCCTCCCCCCATCTTGTGTGTGAGATATGAAGCTCCCGCCATGGGCCTGACTTTGACCCTGGGTACGGATCCTCCTCTCTCTATCCCTACCCAAGCATGGCTAGCTGCAGGCAGAGCTGTGCCAGGCCAGGGCAGGGTGAGGTGAGTGGGAGGAGGGGCCACTGAGCTGGACCGTAGGAGCAGAGGATGTGGAGCAGGAATGGGCTGAGGCCTGGGTGCCTCCACCATAAACGCTCATCAGCACCGGCAAATTTGATGACCAACAGTGAGGTGGCAGCTTGCCTGCCATCCCTGGGGAGGAAGCTTCCCCAGGCATGGCCTGCGTGCCCCCCCACCCATGGCCTGTGATCCTGCCATCAGCATTGCCTCTTAGGCCCCAAGCAAGGTGCAGCTCTATTTCCTGACCATCAGACAGTCCTGTCAAGAAGGTCCTTCCCCTCATAAGCTCCCAGCCCAGCCTTCTGTGGTGACTTTTCTACTTGTCCCTTCTTGATTTTTATTTTAATCTTATTTTACCTGTAGAAAAATGTTGCTGGAGGTTCCCAGCTCAGAATGACTGGCCGTCTCCCCACAGTTCCTGTGGGAATGATGGTCCTGTGGTTACACACGCACACACATGCACATGCATGCGTGCTTGGACACACATGTACACACACCCTTGTACATATATGCATAAACACATCGACACACACATACACACGTATGTTCTTTCTCCTGGTTGAAATATTCACCCTGCTGCCCCCCAGGCTGTGATATGGGTAACTGCCCACCTGCCAAGCACTTGAATCCCCTGCCACTTGCCAGAGTCTTGCTTGTGTAAACCTCGGCCCTTTTCCAGGGGTATCCTTGGTCTTTGCAAAAGACCAGGCACTGTGACAACTGGCCTATACAGCTCTGAGGACTAAGGACAGTGGGAACTGTTCATTGTTTGAGGCAACCAGACTTTGGCGGGGCAAGAGTGGTACAAACCAGGAATTTGCCTCGAGGTTGGCTTGAGAGACGTGAGGAGGAATGGGCAGATGCAATCTTGGGGACCCGGTGGCTAATGTGGGAATGTGCTTTCTGTAAAGCAGGTGTCCTCAAACTAAAGCCTGCAGGCCACATGCAGCCCGCCTAGGATTTATCTGGCCCACCGGGTGTTTTTGCCGCCGCTGCCTGTCCTGCTTAGCAGCCGACTCGTCCCGGGGCCCGCAGTCCAGCCCTCCAGCGGTCTGAGGGACAGTGAACTGGCCCCCTGTTTAAAAAGTTTGAGGACCCCTGCTGTAAAGGGAAACTTCCAATAAGGGAGGAAGAGCAGGTGCCACTGGCCGGGGCACTGCCTGGACTGTCACGCCTCTGTCCTGCTCGTTAGCCATGGCCGTGCATGTGGGGATGTGTTTGCATGGGACTGGTGGGTGGGGGCAGTGGTCCAGGGTCACCCCTGTCCTCTGCTGTCCAGTTCCATCCTCTCACCCATGTCCTTCACACCCTTGGTGGCTTTGCTTTTCCTGAGCAGGGACAGGGTTGATTACTCCTACCTCTTGGAGACTCACCAACCACTTGCTCAGCAGTCCCAAGCCTTGAGGCTCACATGGCCCCTCAAGGCCCCACAAGACCTGGGAATTTGCATCTGCCTCTCAGACTATAAGAAAAGAGGGTGGTCCCAAGGCCAAGGCCTGTCCTGTTCTCTCACCTCTTGCCTGTAGTTTGGGCCCAGTGATATTTGTCTTAGTCTAGTGCCTGTCACTCAGCACCTGAAGGAGTGCACCCTCCTCCATCCTGAGCACCATATCCAGGCATTTTGGTGATAAATGTTAGCAGCTTTGCATGGGTTAGAATAGATTTCAGCAAACTATGGCTCCTGAGCCAAATCTGTTTTTATAAATAAAGTTTTATTGAAACATACCCATGCCTGTTCATTTATGTATATTCCAGACTAGTTACTATCTGGTGCTTTACAGAACAAGTTTGCTGATGCCTCACTTAGAGAAAGGGCCTTAAACTTCTTCTGCTGTAGCCCAGCTTTCTAAGCACTTGAGTCTTGGCCCAAAGATAGAATCCATCTTTAGGGCCAGGTGGTGACCTGGAAGACTAGAGGATGGAGATCTTTGTTTCAGTGAATAGAGCACAGTCTAGAAATTAGAGACAAAAGTAAAAATGCCAGTTGTGCCAGACCCTCTGTGGAACGTTGTCTCCACTGAGTGTTAAGCCTGGGACACACAGGTGGCACCACCTTACAGATGAGCAAACAGAAGCTTAAGAGAGCTAAGGGTATGTCTTGGTCAGTGGCCCAAGCCACTGTTGTGGTGTGTGAACTTGAGAGTCCCGGGAAAAGGTTGAGGAGCCCCCACCACCATCCTGTAGCCCCAGGGAAGGGGGTAAGTGGAGGAGTGCCTGGGGGACCTGCAGGAAGGGTGGATCTGTGCAGCCACATTCAAAAATAGAAGGCAGAGGGCATCTGGATGGCCTTGGTGTCTGTGCACAGCAAGGAGGTGGCTAGGTGTGGACAACAGGAAGCTGAGGAGAAGGAACTGTCATCTTTAGCCATAGCCAGGATACAGGGTGGGTGACGGATGAGTCAGAGTGTCCCTGGGGTCACCACAGACACCAGGAGGTGACTCAGATGGCAAAAAGGCCCAGAAATGGCCAAGTGGGTGGCCCACATCCCCTGGCTAGGCCTTGGGGTGCCCTTGTGAGGGAGTCACCCCACAATGCTGTAGGCACCTTTACTTGCCTGCCCTGCCTTCTCCCTAGCCTCTCTCCTCCCAGGTCCTCCCTCCCACCGTGGGAGTTGGCTGCCACCATGCCCAGCCACACGGTCCAGGCTGGGAGGGGCCAGGAGGGGCCTCTTTCTCTGACATATCCCCACACAGGGGTTGGGGGTGTAGGAAGGGGAGACGCACCATGCAGGGTTGATGTCGGTACACCTGCTGGGCCTCCATGAGCTGCCCAGACAGTGGACACTCCACGTTGAGGTGATGCCATCTTTTCTGCTGGCTCTTTCCGAGGCTGGGCCAACCTTGCTTCCATGAGATTCCTCCCAACACCAATCTTATGCCTGCTGCAGCCTTCACAGGACTGTCTTCAGTGGAGTCAACATGCAGGGCACTTACCTAGCTCGGAGGGGTGGGGGAGTAGACTACAGACCAGCCTGTTCTTATGAATAAAGTTTTATTGGGACATGGCCATGCCCATGTATTTCTGTACCACTGTGGCTGCTTTCATGCTGCAACAGCAGAGCTGGAGAGTTGCATAGAGACCCTCTGGCCCTCAGAGCTCAAGATATTTGCTATCTAGCCCTTTACAGAGAAAGTCTGCTGATCTCTGGTCTAGCTGAAAGAGGAGCTCTCTGTACATCAAGGCCAGTTTATTGGTGTGAGAGCTCCCTCCCTGTCTCATACCTCATCGCCCCTTCCCCTGACCCCACTCTCCCTGTTAAGTCCTCCCTGTTATCTCCTTTCCTTTGTGGCAGTGTAGCCACGAGGACAGAGGGGCATTTCCTGCTGTGCCGAGGCTCCTGCCTACCCAGATCAGGTGTGGCGGGAGCTCGGGCACAGGCCTCTGAGGTGTGTGGTGCGGTCAGCCTTGCCCTCCTGGGTCACCTCCTGCTTTATCCTGCAGCCTGCTCACCGGCCTCCTGTTTCTCTTTCCATCCGTTAGGCCGTACTGGACGCTCCGCAGTGTGCAGAGGTCTCCTAGCAACCTCCCTTAGGAGTTCTCTCTGGCCCCAACTAGGAAGCTGGAGACGAAGCCCGGAGATTGATGAGTTTGTCTTGGGAGCCGCTGAGAAGCTGAAACCAGGGGCGAACATGGGTCAGAAGGTCACTGGAGGGATCAAGACTGTGGACATGCGAGACCCCACGTACCGGCCCCTGAAACAGGAGCTCCAGGGCCTGGATTACTGCAAGCCCACCCGGCTGGACCTGCTGCTGGACATGCCCCCCGTGTCCTACGACGTGCAGCTGCGGCATTCGTGGAACAATGATGACCGCTCGCTCAACGTCTTTGTGAAGGAGGATGACAAGCTCATCTTCCACCGGCACCCAGTGGCCCAGAGCACAGACGCAATCAGGGGCAAAGTCGGGTACACGCGCGGGCTGCATGTGTGGCAGATCACGTGGGCCATGAGGCAGCGGGGCACACACGCTGTGGTGGGGGTGGCAACGGCCGATGCCCCCCTGCACTCCGTTGGGTACACGACCCTCGTGGGGAATAACCACGAGTCCTGGGGCTGGGACTTGGGGCGTAACCGCCTCTACCACGACGGCAAGAACCAGCCAAGTAAAACATACCCGGCCTTTCTGGAGCCGGACGAGACATTCATCGTCCCCGACTCCTTCCTGGTGGCCTTGGACATGGATGATGGGACCCTGAGCTTCATTGTGGATGGACAGTACATGGGAGTAGCTTTTCGGGGACTCAAGGGCAAAAAACTGTATCCTGTAGTGAGTGCTGTCTGGGGCCACTGTGAGATCCGCATGCGCTACTTGAACGGACTGGATCGTAAGTGCCCCCTGTACTATCTGAGGTGGTGCCAAGAGTTTATATAGTTGTTGGAATTAAAGTGTATTTAAGTAGATATCCCAGTGTATTCCAACCCCCAGAGGCAACTTTTGCCCACATCTGATTAAATGAGGGATTCTAGCCAGTCTGGTAGATGACCTGGCTATGACTCCTGAGGGCATAGAGGGTGAGTGAGGAATGGACAGATGGATGAATGAGTGTTTGGGTGGCTGGATGGATAGATGGATGGATGGACAGATGAATGGAATGGATGGATGGATAAATGAGTAGATAGATGAGTGGGTGGATAGATGAGTGGATGGATGAATGAGTATATGAATGAGTAGATAGATGAGTGGGTGGATAGATGAATGGATGGATGGATAGATGGATGGATGGAATGGATGGATGGATAAATGAGTAGATAGATGAGTGGGTGGATAGATGAGTGGATGGATGAATGAGTATATGAATAAGTGGATGGATGGATAGATGGATGGATGGAATGGATGGATGGATAAATGAGTAGATAGATGAATGGGTGGATGAATGAGTTGTTTGGATGGATGCATGGTGGATGGATGAATGAGTGTTTGGGTGGCTGGATGGATAGATGGATGGATGGATGGATAAATGAGTAGATAGATGAGT